TAGATTGGTTGCAGCCTGAAAAAATTGTGAAAAAACAATATTGAATAATTTTAATGTTTTAAAATTTTATTTCCGTTACAAAATTTAGTGAATAAAAGTGTTTTATATTTATGAGTTTGCCATGATTGCTCTGATTGAATCATGGCAAAATACTTATTCAGTTCTTACTGTTTATTAAATAAGCTTGAGTCTTTAAGGCTTGACCTTGGTGAATGCAGTAAAAAATATTTAAATAAGATCTAATGTGTAAAACACTTCAATGTGCCTTTTTTTATATTTTTCTATTTTTTAGGCCAACTCTCACGTGTTAGCGGAAAGTTAGCAAAATATGTTAAGGACTTAATTCAGAGGTAACTTTTGTATTTCTTCATTTATATTTTTATTTGTTTTATGTATATTCAGAACATTGTAGGCATTATAAATAAATGCAAAGATTTTGTTGATTATTATTTAAACATTACTTTAAATGAGTATACATATTGCATGTAAATATTTATATAACACATTAGCAAACTAATACAAATGGCTATAAAAATGATCTCAATAGAACATTTTAAAGTATTTTTATTATAAAAGTTAATTTCTTAAAAGTTAAAAAATGCTTATTTGAATTATGAAAGTTGTCAAAATTTTTATAAAATTTTTGTATTTATAATACTATAAAGTATCCATGTCAAAAGTATTAAAAATATTATTAACAATATATGAATGAATTGTTATAAGTGATTATATATATATATATATATATATATATATATATATATATATATATATATATATATATATATATATATATATATATGTATATATATATATATATATATATATATATATATATATATATATATATATATATATATATATATATATATATATATATATATATAAGTATATAAATTTATATACTTCTGTATATAGATAAACAAATATAAATGTATGATGATATTAAGATCAATTATATTGTGGAAAGCCAATTGTTTGATAAACAGTTTATTAGAAAATGATAATTATTGAAGTTAATTCAGTGATTTTTTCTTTAAGCCTATTCCAATAGTTTTTATATTTTTGAAAGTGATTCTATGTTATATTTTACTAAACTCTCTGTAAAAAGTGCTCATTTAGTAAACCCTTTGATATTTGTCCTGATTTTTAATTTTTGACCTTGTTCAATGGCCAGTTAAACATTTAGTTGCACATTTTTCATTATATAATTTGCTTGTTTGAATGCAGCAACATGGGCATAGGAAATAAATGTTATTAAAACACATAATCATGTGAATACTGAAAAAATATTGTAATTACATTTATCTTGGTTTTCACATCCAGCCATTGGTATTAAAAGTATGCTCCATAATGATCACATGTGTATTAACCAACGATATTTTATATAAACTAGTTGTCTTACTTCAATCCAAAAAGTGAAGCTGCTTTTGTCCTTTTTACAAATGACAGATTAAATTTGTTGACAAATACTATTTAACTATTTTTTTATATATGAAGTAAATATATTTTTATATATGTAATATATTTTAAATCTATATATGTAATCTATATATGTAAAAGTGTTAAGAGGAAATTAGAGTACTTGTAAAGTAATAATTTATGATTTCTAAATTTATTTTCGATTAAAAAGGGGTTAAAATTTAAAATAGAAATAAACCGTAAATAAACCTTGATAAGTACTTTATATTTATTATAACATGTTTTTGAATTATCTTTAATTTATTGGTTAATTTTGACTCGCATTTTGAACTTTTATTCCACACATTTGCTTCAGCTTTAACACTTTTTACAAATGGCAAATTATATTTTTAAGCAAAAAAAGCGACATCATTTTTTGTTCAATAAAGGACCGCAAGTTTGACATCTAGTTTATATTATATATCATTTAGTTTATATTATATAGTTTGTTTTGGTATTGTCCGTCAATTATTGATATTTTGAAAAAACGGAGCCAGAGGTATGTGATTTGTCATATGTTCAAATTAATCATATTTCTGAAAAGTCTCATGACTTTTAACAAAATCAGATGGTAAAAAACCATCTGATTTTGTTAAAAACAGAAAGTCTAGATCACAGGTGGAGTTTTAAAAAATAAAAGACTATACAGTTAATTTCTTTTGTATACTGGTCTCTATGCACTGAAGATACAAATTAAATTAACAGAATCAATCCATTGGTTATGCATTGATGCTATTAAAATGGTTCGGATGACTGGATTATTAAGGCTGTGGATTATTATGGTCTAACATTCATAATATACAATTTACATAACCTTATTCATTTTTTATAGTTTTCTGAACGATTGCTTCTTGATATGTCTGCCTATTTATTTAAAAAATTATTGGCTTTTAGTAAGAAGATGCTACTTGCTCAAATGGTTAAGTGAAATATAAGTAGTTCGGATTGGAAGAAAAAACACCTAACAAAGTAAATCATTAGTCTTAAAGAGAGCTATTTATAAAAACAACTTTTGATTCTTTGCTTTGTGAATATGTACCATTTCAGTTTCTTTATTTACTATGCAATTCATGTTATAAAAAATATATTGCCAAAATAACACTTGTAAAAAAATAACTTTCCAGAAATCTGAACTGAAAGATATTATATATCTTTTGAGGTTAATTCTAGACATATTTTTTTTCCATTATTTCATGATTGTGTGTTTTAAATTAATTTTGTTTATTTATTCAATTAAAATTATTTTGGAGGCAATTTCATTAGTTTTGCATTTTATTGAGGTATTGTTTATTCTATTTCAGATAATGTTGCTAAACGATTTACAGTCGATAATCTTTCGAAAGCAGAAAAACTCAGGTTAACATTAATTAAAAAGTTAGCGCAGTTTCTGGTATTTGTGGTATTTCTATTTGTTTATTCCGAATGTTTTTTATTTAGTTTTTAAAAATGCTTTTAATTGGATTTGTTTGTAACTTTATGTTTTTTCATATATATTTGTCTTTTAGTGTTAAACAAAGAATACGCGAATTATTTGAGATATTATTGAAATTTGCAAAGAAAGTAAAAATCAAACTAGTTTCATTCTAAGTTATTGTATATAATTTTAAAATTTTGGAATAGAAGTGATGCAATGTTTATTTATTTTTAGTCTTTTAATTTCCGTATTCAATTTTTTGCCCGGACTAATATAATAATCGTATATGACCTAAATAAATAAGAAGAAATATAGCTTGACAGCGCAAAGTTATACAGTGTAAAATTGTCCTTTATTGTTTTTTGCAGTGTAGAAATAACATCAAAAATGATAGAAAAACGTTGGAGGGGCGTTTTTCTTACAACGTTTCGCAACATTGTTAATATAACGTTGACCTATGTTTCATATATGCCATTATTCCAACGTGTAAAAAACGATAGAAAAGACGCTGGCTCAACGTCATTTTAGCTAAAATATAACGTTAGCCTAACGTCCTTATAACGCCTTTTTTTCTTCAAACTTAACGTTGCTCTAACGTCTTTCCGACGTCATTTAGTTAAAATGTAACGTTGTCACCACGTCATTTTACATCGTTGTAATAACGTTAGTAAAATTACGTTTTTTCGGTGTTTCATTTATAACATGCCAACGTCTTTCCAACGATACGAAAGACGTTAGAACAACATTGTTCCGACGTCATTTTTCTTATTTGGGTTGTTCTAACGATGCACTATGCGTTGCTCTTATACAAAATGAGGAAATAGGCATATAAATAAAGAAGGACTTAAAATATTTAACTTATTTTTTCACAAGACATCAAATTTTTATTTATATTTCTATATTTAAAAGAATCATATTCGGTTTTCATTAAAAAACAATTTATTGTATTTTTTTTCGGTTAGTCCGGACTAATTCTAGATTTGTTCGGAAAACTAAACAAGTCCGGATGATTTTATTCAAAAAAAAGTAAGCGCCTATATTTTATAGAATTTTACAAACTATGTATATGAACACTATTTAAAAATAAACAGTATCATTGAATATAATAAACAACTCTGCTATCATATGATACTTGGCTCTTTGCATTCTTTCACAGTTTCTCAACATTCTATTCTAATAGATGTTTTTAATAACTTGTGGCTATGAAAATAGCCGTTTTTTAAAAAATTCAACGCAGAACAACTCATCAGTATGATTCTTCATGGTCTTACTTCCTAAAATAGTTAATTGCTTGTTAAAATTGATTAAGTTTTTTTTAAATTATGAGATTGCCTAACCAAAAAAAATCAATCAAAACTATTAACAATATTAATAATAAAACTATTTTACCTTTATTTTAAGCAGTTATCAGAAGAACTGTCACTTTGCTTTCTTAAACTATTTTGTTTTCACTCTTTTTTTATCCATTTTATTTTTTTTGCAAAAGAGGTACATATCAGAAGTCATAAACAAATAATTAGCTGTATCCCTAGTGTTTTCTGCAAAAGAGGTTAAACGAGCATGACCAATTCGAGCAGTTTTGTTTTCCTTATTTCTGGCTTCAATAGCACTCTCAGACAAAGAACCTATCGGATACTTAAAATACTTTATAAAAGAAGTACCATGAACTATCACTCTATGCACAGATTGTGACATAGGTATGGTTTTTAAAAATTTATCATTAGTTATGAGTGCAAATAGATGTTCAGATTTCTGTTTGAAAATTTTTATATCCGGTCTTGTAGTTGTTCTGTTTATATCAATGAGTAAATCTCGAAACAACTAAATCATTCTGATATCCAAGTTTAAAATTCTTCCTGTCACAATCGGGTTATTAAAAAATTTGCAAGCAACATTTCCAGTATTGGTTGTTCCACATCCTTTCCTGACAAAAGAAACCCTTATATTAAGTTGTATCTTGAATAAATGCTGGCATTTTTTTTTGTTTTCAATAAATTCTTTACTCTTTTGTGATGGAATATTTCTTCCTTGCTTAACAGCTGGGAGTTTACAAACAGTATTGAAAATCCACTCCATACAGTGCATCCATAGATGAAGACTGCAAATTTCAAGTTTAAAAACATGCTTGTTTAAATTAATATTTTTTTTACAAATAGTTTTCAAGTTAAACTCCTTAGAATTTGCAAGGCATACATGGCAGGACTGAGATGAAATTCTTTTTTTAAGCATATTTGATACAACAGCGTTTAGTGTTTTGCCATCATTCATTGTGGTATAAATAGTTGACAAACTAGACTTTACTACAAAAGTACTTTCACCAAGTTTAAATTCAATATTCTTCAATAAAAAAAATTTCATTTTTCAAATGTTCAAATTTTTCCTGAATAAAACTAGGTCTCTTTTGCAAAACAAAAAAGAAGATGACAGGTTGCATCTGGATTATTTGGAATTAAATTTTTCCATATTATTTTTTCTCCACTTCGGATCTCCAGCAGTACAAACACTATAATATACACAGAGCGATCATCTACACCTCTTTTCATAGTTGCTGAATTTTGAAACTCAGATTGATCACTTTGACCATCACCTCCTACTTTGCAAATAATTTGTGCATTATCACGCTCTTCTTGTGATAAACTCATTATGCAGTTACTTTCATAATCCAAAAGATATTCAAACACTCTAGAAACTGAATGCTTTATCATATGGAAAAGACTACATTTTACTTCGGTTTCAGAATATTCAACCTGTTCTGGATATGTCAATTTTTTGTATTGCTTCAACTTGGTTAAACCTGGAGGAACAAGATGACGATTATGAGTCACTATATTTTTAAATTCAGTCCATGTTCTATCTGTAAGTTTCAAATTACAAAGAGCTTGCAATGACAAATTTGAACCATACAAAATAGCCCTACCATCAGTAGAAGAATTAGATTTAAACCTTTTGACAGCATGTTGCAGTTCTTCCACCTCTCGTTCTCTAAGACTATCTGTTCTTTTACGCTTCATCCTGTTTGTAAGCTTAATAAAAGACTTTCTAGGTTTTGGTGTAAAAGATGTATTGACTGCAGATGATTTAGGCACTCTACATGGTACACTATAAATAATAAAAAAATACATTGAAACATATATACATTTTGAAGGTTTTGTGAAACATAGTCAAACAATATGTATGTGTGTGTGCAAAATAAAAAGAGGGAGTTACATTTATCTATGCATACCTGTTTACATTGGATCCATGAGTACGAAGCAGTAATTCCCCTTCTTTTATTTTACGCTCACCCTGCTTGATGAGTTGATTACCCTGTTTAACCAGATTTTCACCTTTTCTAATTAATAGCAGTTCTTCCTCATGTATTCTAATCTCTTTTTCAGAATCTTTTTCTAATCTACACACACAAGTATAATATATATATGTATAGTATATATATATATATATATATATATATATATATATATATATATATATATATATATATATATATATATATATATATATATATATATATATATATATATACATATATATATATATATATATATATATATATATATATATATATATATATATATATATATATATATATATATATATATATACTATAATGCAATATTTATTACTATATATATATATATATATATATATATATACTATAATGCAATATTTATTACTTATTTATAATAAATCAATATAGAATATATTATACTCACAAGAGATATTTGCATTGTTGATTTTGATCTAAAAAATGTTTTTATTTAGTAAGAAAGAACTTTTTTCTTTTTCTGCAAAAATTTAGCACATTCAGATACATTTTTACTTGTGAAAATATGCCTTGGAGGAAAATTATTAGCCAGAAGTTTGCTAAGATTAAAAGTAACCATTTTGAAAAAATTCGAGAGCCAAACTGAGGTTTAACTTAAAGACTAGAAAAGAATGTTCCACCCGCATCCAGTTTCTTCTTGACAAAAACTAACTAACCGGTTTTCAATAAATCCACCTCTTTTGAATTGATTTTATAGCATGTTACTACAGAGGTAGCCAGAATATCATTTCACTTATAAAAAGTCAATTTGTTTGAGAAAATTTTAAAAAAATAAAAAACTGGCTACCTCTGTAGTAACATGGTCTAATCGATCAATCTTTACAGACACCCAAAAACAATGATCCAAACATTTTTTTTTTTCTTTCCTTGGTTTTTAATTTACGAAAGGTATCATTTATTAGAAAATGTGCAAAAAAAATGAAGAAATTTGAAGATTATCTTATGTAATTTAAAGATTTAGTGAAAACATGGGTTTTTTTACCCCTGAAAATCCCGCACCTAAATAGGCAAATTTAAAAAAATTAAAAAAAACTTTTTTTTATTAACTAATACTAACTTGTTTCAGTTAAAAAAATTTTAAAATAGTAAAATTGAAAATTTTTTTCTGAAAAGTAAGTAAAATCCTATTTCCGCTTTGCGACGCATAGTGCGATGCATTTACAGATTTTAAGTTGACGTCTAATTTCTCGATTGCTGAGACCACTTTTGTGCAGGCCAACAAGTTGCCACGTTGTTTCCATTAACATGCTCTTTAATCCCATATTTTTGTTGTTCAAATTTTAAAGTTTTGACTAACTGTATTTCAAATGTTATATCTGACACTTCAACTTAAGCTTCTTATATTTTTTATTGACTATTATAAATCAGCAGAGAGTAATTAACAAAATTTAACCAAAAAAGTTTTTCTCAAAGGAAGTAAACAATTGTACCAATACATTTTAAATCAGTGCGCTAATACTTTTGCAGACGTAATTTCACACATTTTTCAGAGTAGTCATTAAAACTCTAATTAATTCATCAAAAAAAAACAGGTAGTTTGACAAATATTTGACATTCTAATTAAATTTATTTGGTTTTACCTTTCATTAAAAAAAAAAAGCTAGTTTGTTATTAAAATTACTTTACAATTTAAATTGAATTGAAGTTGTCTGTGAAAAAAAAAACAAAAAAAAAAAAAAACGAGTGCGCTAATACTTTCTGGAAGCACTGTATATATTAGGGTTGTTCGCCGAAAAACAAAACTTGCGAAAATTTCGCATCTTTATCTACCGTAATAGAATTGTTATTGCGGTTAAGTTGCACATGCAAAAATGAACATTCCGTAACGCGCTATACGAAAATATAAATAAATAAAATTCCGTAATAAAGCATTGCGAACAAAAACTTGCGAAACAAATTAATTCGTAAGAATACTTACGAAATAGTTCCTTACGAAAAAAGCATTCCGGAATGTGCAGTTACAAAAAAGACGCAAAAGATTTTTTGTTACGATATATTTAAGATATTAACTGTTAACAGTTTAAATAATAAAGAGTAAAATTATAAAAAAATGTTGTCAAATGATTCTTCAAATGTTTATACAAATATACCTAATATATATTTATATAAATATATACATATATATACAGTAAAATCCCGTTGAGTTGGATTCTCAATGAACAGATAAACAGTATGCCTTTCTTTATAAAAAGTATAAAGAGGATGTGTGATAAACAATTAAATACTTTATTATAAAAAACGAGAGATCTCTCTAAAGGTGAATGACATCAGAAAGAGTAAAGAGAGAAGAAATACATGTGAAACAGCGGGATGTGAACCTGGGTCTCCGCGGCCAAATGTCTTAACTGAATGAGCTATACGTTCATTCAACTAAGTGAATAGTAATATTTATTTATTATATGATTAAGAAACTATATAAAGCAGAATTTACAGAAAGAGATACGTATGCAAATAGGATTCTATATATCAGGAATGAATAGTAATGTGAACCTTTAGTTGCTTATAATTAATATCTGGACTCGAAAACTAGTTACTTTTAATGGAACACAATAGGCTGTAGGAGCCTCAGGGAAATTATATTCAGAAATGATTATATTAGACTCAAAGTTAGCTAGAAATTGTTACAAAGTGTTTAGGACAGATGTCTAGTACAAAAAGCACAAGATTTAAAGCAAAATGATTTATATTATTTGAAAAAGTTGTTTTACGTACATTTCATCATAATTTAAGTAGAACTTAGTAGAGCAAGGGAAACGTGTAGAATTAAGCACAATGAACTCGATCTTAAAAGAATAACTAACAGAAGAGAGGTTGTCACTATTATGAAGGTGACGAAAGATCTGTAATATAGAACACGGAGGTCAAAAAATGCTATCTTAAGTAAAAAGAGTTTAATGAACAAAAGTTACAATGGCTGCGGGATGCGAACCCGTATCTCTGCGGCGAATTATCACGTATCTAACTGATTGAGCTATACGATCTTATACTTAAATTTATATCTTATTAAAATTAAAAAACAATATTTTCTAAGATCTATACTTCGAAAAGCGTATTCAAACAGGACTCTACATACCTTTAAAATCTGCTAGAACTTTAGTAACGTGCACACTTTTAGAAATTATTGAAATAGGTATATTTTATCAGAAATATGCTTAAGCTAAAGCATATTTTTGAGCCTCTTTTTACTATTTGCTTAAGCATGTTCGAACCTGTTTCAAAAATTTCATATGCTTTAAAAAAAAAAACATGTATGTTCCTACCCATCATTCTTATTTTTAATATACGTAATGAGTTCAAAAAACATCGTTATATATTTTCGAAAGTTTATTTCCGTTAAGAATTCTTTCGTATGTTGTGATCCGAAATACTTTCGTTTCGAAAGAAATTTTATTTTTTATCAATAATTCTAACAATAAAACCATAAAAATTTAAAACCATAAACATTTTGGGATTTAAAGATGTTAATTTTTACAATTAAAATCAGTCTAGCAAACAAGTTTTCTTTATAGACTTTAAAACGTCCTTTGGCGAAAATGTTTGTTTCGCAAGTGCGACTTTCGAAACCGCTACTTTCGTATGTTGCAAAATAGTTTTGTTTCGTATGTCAACTTGCGAAATGCTAAATTTCGGAAGTGGCTTTTGCGAAATGAACATCGGCGATTTTAAATGTTTTGTAACATTCGGTACGCAAAAATGTAGGGAAAGTGGGGGCATAACCGCCCCCGTAACGTTTGGATTAATGTTATTTGAAAATAAAAACGAAATGTGTTTTTTTAACAGTTTCTTTCAATAACCACATCATTAGGCTTTAAATTGATGCATTTAAGAAAAAAATTGAACGGGTTTTGAAAATGTTATTACACAAAAATTACACTTAGTGAAAAAAATTTGCCCCCATTGTGAGGCACAACCGCACCCTCACAAAAATCGATGGGGCAAACCTTTCATTGTACATTTTTTTTACAGTTTGTACAGTTCAGATTATTTGATAATTTTGTTGCATGTTTGCATACTGTGCAGACATTCTTTGTATTTACATTTTGAGTTCTGCCCCAGAAGAGAGTTCTGCCCCAGAAGAGAGTTTTTAGAAAGATTTCAGTTTCATAGCTTAATTATTAGATTATGATATTATCAAAAATGGCTTTCACTTCATGAAATAATGTTGATAACACATATCTTTAACACTAAAATCAAATATTGCTTAATTCTCAAAAAGATGGTCAGGAAAAATATGATGTAAATATAATATTTTTATCAAAATAAACATTATTATTCACAACTTTTCAGAAACTTAACTGTCACTCTTTTTGACATATGCAAAATGAAGGAAACTGTTTTACTAACGCGTGGAATGTTTTTTGCCATATAAGATAACATTTTTTGAAAAGAAATGTTAAAAAACGGTTGTGCCTCCATATACGGTTATGCCTCAACTTCCCCTAATTCCTCGTTCTCAATCTCCTTACGAAAGAATGTTGTTTTTCCGGAATTGCACGAAATCCTCCGGTTAACAACCCTAATATATATAATATATATATATATATATATATATATATATAATTTGAAGATCTTTTAAGGAATTATATTAAAAATATAATTCCTTAAAAAGATCAATAGTTTAAAAATATAGTTTTTTAAAGACAATAGTTTTTAGTTGTTTTTTTTTTGTTAAAAAAAAACTAAAAATCCCAGGTTAATGTATATATATCATCCCAGGTTAATTCATATATATATATATATATATATATATATATATATATATATATATATATATATATATATATATATATATATATATATATATACATACATATATATATATGTGTATATATATATATTTATATACATGTACATATATATATATAAATATATATATATGTATATTTATATATATATATATATATATATATATATATATATATATATATATATATATATATATATATATATATATATACATACATATATATATACATATATATATATATATATATATATATATATATATATATATATATATATATATATATATATATATATATTGCATTAAAATGCAAACAAAACAA